GTCGGTAAGTAAGGCTAAGTTAGGGATGTAAATAGGGATAAAATAGGGGTAAGATCAGGCTGCAATTAGGAATTATATAGGACTGAAAATAGGGATGTAATAAAGATAAAAATATGGACGAAATAGGGCTGAATATAAGGTTGAAATAAGGTTAACAAAACAGGCTCGAAAATAGGCGTGAAAATAGGGATGAAATAGGACTAAGAATAGGTTGAAATAAAGTTGAAAATAAGATGAAGAAATGACCAAACAACTAAGGTTGAAAATTGGGCATTAAAATTTGCCGGGGAATGGGCAATTTCAACGTGGTTGAAAATAGGGCAGTAAAATAGAGCGAAAATAGGCAATTTCAGCGCACCTCTTGACGTCCTCGCGCTCGTCGCCATCGCAGGACTCCATTTTCAAAGTGAAATTGGAATTAAAATTGAAATTTTGCTTCCATCAATACAATTTAAGTTATATTGATGTATACATATCATATATTATATAGATATATTTTCTGTAGATATATTAAGTTTAAATGAATTATTTTATAATTTTTTGTAAGAGGAAATAATAATAATGAAATTAAATTATTTTTGTAATGTATTTATTTTATGTTGATGTATATATATTTTAAATTATTAATTGAATATATATTTTCTATATATATCTATATATTAAGTTTAAATGAATTATTTTATAATTTTTTGTAAGAGGAAATAATAATAATGAAATTAAATTATTTTTGTAATGTATTTATTTTATGTTGATGTATATATATTTTAAATTATTAATTGAATATATATTTTCTATATATATCTATATATTAAGTTTAAATGAATCATTTTATAGTTTCGTCTAAAGGGAAAAAATTATGTTGTGGACATTTTTTATTTTATTTTAAATATATCTATAAGAAATTATCTTGAATTAATAAAAAAATTTGATAATATAAGTTAAATGCAAATAATATGATTTATTATTTTCTTGGTTTAATTCCATAATAAATTTTCGAATAGAGAATGTGTGAAATACAATGCATGTATTGATGAATAAGACAGTAAGTAATACAATAATATTAATTATCACAATAATACAATGAATATTATTGTGTAGATTGAGGCACAGCGAAGCTTCCTGTTGAGAACCCCACGAGGGCAACACGAGCGCGGCCAGCAGCACAACCTCCCACCACGGCGACCGGAGCGGCACTGAGCTATGGCACACTTGGTTGCCAGAGGATGGCATGAAAAAAACGGCCATATCTAGGAAATGAAATGAAAAAACGGCCATATCCACACACGAAAAAGTCCAAAACAAATCAAAATATAATATTCATCTGTAAATTATTAATTTGCAGTGCAAAAATCTATATTTTTTGTTTTTATACCTTTAGAAATACAAAATTATTCAAGGACTTCATAGATTTTGTCGGGTAATGCATGTAACATAAGGACCGTATTAGTCGAATTTGGCCAGAAAAAGGCCAAACTGGCAACCTTGCTTACTAGATTGTGAGGCTTCGGTCGTAAGTGGTGCGCGGTGGTCGTAAGTGGTGCGGTGGTCATAAGTGGTGCGGTCCAGCATTCACCACGCCACCAGCATTCACCACGCCACCAGCATAGTGGTGCGGTGGTCGTAAGTGGTAGTGGTAGTAAGTGGTGCGGTGGTCGTAAGTGGTGCGGTGGTCGTAAGTTGTGCGGTGGTCGTAAGTGGTGCAGTGGTCTGTTTTTATATTTTATATGCACAAAAATTTCCGCTTTCATGTCGGGTTCTCAGTACAGTTGATGACGTCATCACACCAGCAGGTTTCGTTCCGCGTTGTGCTCCGGAGAATCCGAATGTCGTTGGCATGCAAACCCGATAACGCTGCGTGCATTGAAGACATAAAACTTACTGTTTCATTCCAGTACAACAATATAATATGTCTAAATGCAAGCGAAAAATCTTTTTCACATACGTTTTGCATGCTAATATCAATTTAAATAATTTCATCGATATCATTTTTTTAATAAATAATATATCAACTGATATAAGCAAATTTACTCTGCTCATTTGTTAGGTTTAGTTGTGATTAAGTCATATTACGTTGATCAAAGTTGTGCAATTTTGAAAAATTTGCGTCTAAATCATGGCAAATTCAATGAAAAAAATGCCGCAGTAACAGATATTATCAATATAAGCTAGATGAGTAACAGCAATTAAGAGATTTATAAGAAACTAAACCAGAATGACAGAAACTGTGGAGCCTATTCGGGAGTTTCGGCCGAGTTTGTAGTATTGATGGCGCACACGCAGCGTTACTTGAACGACTAGCTCCTAGCCAGGCTAGCCTGGCTAGCAGTCAGTGTGCCTCAGGCTGTGGGAGTGGTAGTGTATCACTTCATTTGCTCGCGCCCCAGTTCAGTAACCTTTTAAATAATAACAAATTTAAGCCTATTATAAAACATTTATGAATAGTATATGTCCTCAGCACGTAAAATTTATTCACAGTGTATCTGATAAACGCTAATCTTCATATACATTATGAAGAAACATCAAAATTCTCAGCAAATGAATACGAGATGGAAAATTGCCTAAACTTTCCTATTTTTTATAAAGATGTACATGATTGTACTTCAGTTAGTACATGTACTCGTTGCCATTACACAGCGACCATATATGGACAATGCGTTCATTACAATTAGTTGAATTACAACAAATATAACATCATTAACATTATGCATTATTTTACGACACTTCTTCTTAGTTTGTCTGTCTGCTACAAATCTTATAATCAATATTTAACACACTTTTACCTCTACAATCTATCTGAAATTTTGCACACTTGCATAAAGTTGGAGACAATGCATGATTCAAATGGCAGAATATATAATTATGAAAATTTACATTTCTTCTATATATTAAGAAAAATTTAAAATTCAATATTTTTTAATACATGAAAATAAAACTAGAAATTCATTGTACATGTGTAACATCGGAGACACAGGATTCTTTAGAAGTGTTGTCTCTAAAAAGTAATTTTTATTCGTATATTATTTATATACTATTTTACATACTCTTGTGTTACACGCACACGGTGCCCGTGACACGCACACGGCGCCCGTGACACGCACACGGCNATAATACAACCTGTATGATGAATGTGTGTGGAAACACAACTTGTATGATGAATGTGTATTAATAATACAACCTGTATGATGAATGTGTGTGGAAACACAACTTGTATGATGAATGTGTATTAATAATACAACCTGTATGATGAATGTGTGTGGAAACACAACTTGTATGATGAATGTGTATTAATAATACAACCTGTATGATGAATGTGTGTGGAAACACAACTTGTATGATGAATGTGTATTAATAATACAACCTGTATGATGAATGTGTGTGACAACACAACCTGTATAAATATATAAATGCACTACTATGCATGTTTTTATACAACTGTACTTTTTTATATGCATTATGATACATGTATATCAAAACCCACACATGTATAATATCCACGTATGGGAAATACATCGATACAAAATACAGTGTGAAAGAATGCCTTATATATTCAATAAAAGAATTGAGTGTGATTTTGTCAAAATTTTACGCTTATGTGGGTCATCCTGACTCAGTTTAGCCCGGCTAAAGGGCGTATCAGGGCTACGTCTGTCACAATTTGGACAATAGGATCCATTTATTTTATCAGTGTAATTTACCTTATTAAAATACCACGTAAAATACGTTCTTTAAAAAATAGGTCTTCGCTTTGATAAGTACTGCACTGCATATATATAATTTATATATCAGATCCATATATAATTTTTACCATCATTACGATATAGATAAAAATAATTAAAATATAGATGACAATTCCTACACGTATAAAATGTTGCCTGACCTGCCACTGACCTGCAACACGCGCACCTGCAACACAAACAGGTGCGTCACTGCTGTGTAATTTGTATTTTATGTGTCTATTGAAGAAATATCTTCCAACAAAACGCTTCTGTGGGAAACGTAATTGTGTAATAAGTTTATATGAATAAATTAATATTCTAGAAAACGTTTTTGTGGGTAACTTTCGTAAATAAGATATTTTGCAACGAAATGCATATGTGGGTAACTTGTATAATATATGTTTTTTTTCAAAATATTAATCTGTTAGAATACGTTTTAGTTGTTACCTTAAGGCCGGTCCACACGCTTTATTTATAAAGGCCGGTCCACACGCTCAGTTTTATAAAGGCCGGTCCACACGCTCAGTTTTTGGCATTGTGCCTCGGCCAAACAAACTGTAAAACTACAAAAGATTACGACTAAATTATTACATGATTATTATTATTGTTAATAAAAAGATTTGATCATTTAGGAAATCTTTTTAGCTGTAAGTTAATGTATATTAAAAGTGGAGTAATTCCCCCCCTCTCCCTCCCCTCTCCCCCTCAGCCCCACCGAAGAGGATGAAAGTGATGGCAACTTCCCCAGCCACCCACCGCCCCCTTCCTGGCGGTACAGCCCCCCACACCCCCTCGCTCAGGTAAGTATATATGCACTACAGTAAATCATAGTTTGAATTAAAATCTAAAGTTAGGCAGCGAAATACATTACGTTATATCTGCGAAATTTATATAACTTAATCGTCTTAACGAGAAATGTAATCATTTTCAGTGTCCATAGTAAAATAATTTCATAATTTATATGAATTTAAATCCAAATGCAAGTCGCAAGTTATACAGATTTAAGATAAGCGAATCTTTTGCATTTATGTGGCTATTAAATATGAATTTATGCGGGAAAATCTTGATGTTTTTCTAGTTCCTATTGAGATGAACTAGCGTTTGAAATTAATAGCGGTTCTTATCAATTAATTCATTTAAAATGTAGAATAGTTCCCGACAGGCCGTGACGTACGATAACATCCCACTAATGACGTACGATAACATGGCACTCAGGACGTACGATAAATGACACTCGTAACATACGATAACATGACAATAACGACATATGATAACGTGACATCAATGACGTACGATAACTTGACACTCGGGAGTTACGATTTCCTGGCAGTAGAGACGTACGACAACATGGATCCAACGATGTTCGATAACGTGACACCCAGGACGTAGGATAACATTATACTCTGGACGTACGATGGACAAACGTGGTGTCAATGGCAGGCCTTGACGTACGACAACATTTCACTCGTGGCCGGCGGTGACGTATGAAAACAAAACAATAACGACGTACGATAACATGTCACTCGTGGTCGGCAGTGACGTATGAAAACAAAACAATAACGATGTACGATAACATGTCACTCGTGGCCGGCAGTGACGTGTGAAAACAAAACAATAACGACGTACGATAACATGTCACTCGTGGCTGGCAGTGACGTATGAAAACAAAACAACAACGACGTACGATAACATGTCACTCTTGGCCGGCAGTGACGTATGAAAACAAAACAATAACGACGTACGATAACATGTCACTCGTGGCCGGCAGTGACGTATGAAAACAAAACAACGACGTACGATAACATGTCACTCGTGGCCGGCAGTGACGTATGAAAACAAAACAATAACGACGTACGATAACATGTCAATCTGTCTACAGGCGCTGAGCTCGGGCAATGTGTCGGCAGTGCAGGCGATGATAGCAGGCGACGACAGCCTGCTGCAGTCCTGGCACTACCTCGGCCTGCCCTGCCTGCACCTCGCCTGCCACTCGGGCAGCCTGCCTCTCCTGCAGCTCCTGCTGGCACATGGCGTCAAGGTTGGTAGTAAACGTGGCTATTTGGCAGTAAATACTCATAAATTGTACTGCCCACATTAGAGTTGCGGTGGTGCAGTGGTGACTGACATGCCGCGACGTATGTTATTATAGTATATTACATGGCATCAATGACGTACGATAACTTGACACTCAGGAGTTACGATTACCTGGGATTAAAGACGTACGATAACATCGCACCCTTATCGCACCCAGCGCCCGGGTTCTCTGTCTCTCGCACCCAGCGCCCGGGTTCTCTGTCTCTCGCACCCAGCTCCCTTCAGCCATTCATCCAACTCTGGTTGATAAATGAGTACCTGGCTTGTCCAGGGTGTTGTGTAATGCAATAAAATGGTTCTGGCGGGTCAGCGAGCCCGTGATGGTCGTAGAACTACCAGTGACATTAAGTGCCCGGAAAAACTGATCTATCCCGGAACCTATCCCGAAACGGACCTATAACATAACATAACATAGTGATCTCGGCGCTGCAGTGTAGGCCTGATGTGGCCTGTCGCCGATTCTTTTTCCTTTTCGTGCCTTGTTCACAGAAGATCTGAAATCGTGTCATTTGACCGGATCTTTTCACGACTGACGAAAGTTTGGAAATAGCTACTCGACTTCCACCGGGTTCGATATGGTGCTAGGCATTTCTAACATTCTCTATTAAATTTCTGTCCTTTTCAAATCTCGGTGACCACACAACATTTCCAAACTCTAGATTCGGGCGCACGACAGCAACAAACAACTGCTTCATCGTTTCTGCATCTAGGAACTCGTATGAGCGTCTGATTAATCCAAGAAGTTTGTTGGATGTGTTAGCTTGCGTTTCAACATGCTGCGTTTCAACATGCAACATATAGCACCAAGTGCCCGGAAAAACTGACCCCCTTCCTAGTCACCACTACCAGGATGGGCAATTACCACAACAAAAACTGTCCACATCAACTGTCACCATTGGCTGTTCTCATCAAAAGTCCCCCATTTCCAGGTTAACCAGTTCGACCGATGGGGGCGCCTCGCCCTACACGTCGTCACCGCTGACGGCTGGCTGGACGGTGCCCGTCTGCTGCTGGTACGCTGTGTATACTGTCTGTGTGTACTGTATGTTGGTTTAGTTTATACTGTGTATACTTTTTCTGTATATTGACCGTGAATAATATCCGCTGTTGGTATGCAATGTACGCAATATATATCGTTTGTGTATACTGTCTGCTGCTTGTCCTTTGTCTATACTGTCAATTGCTTGGATACCTTTTATACTGTCTTTCGGATCACACTGTCTGCATATACTGTCTGTCAGTTTTTGCTGCCTCTCTGCACTGTATTCCTGTACTGCATCAATGAAATCACCTAATAGAAATATCATTCGAAAAAATCGACTAACATCATCTTTATTTCTAAAATAAAACTTAACAAAATATCATTCGATAAAAATCGACATCATCATCTTTATTTCCAACGTCAGGAACATGGAGCGTCAGTGAACGCGATGCTGCCCAACAACGATGCCATCAAGGGGGTGCTTAGAGAATCCCCCCTGCATTTCGCCATCCGCACTGGGGAAGTTGCTATAGCTCTCCTCCTGTTGGGATTAACTGACGCATCCTCAGGAGGATCAACAAATCCTGCCCACGAATCCTCCGGAAGTCCCTTAATCCTACCGGGAGATCCACTTGGTGTCCTCGGGCAACCGCTGGCTACTCCTGGAAATAAAATTTCTAATGGAAAGCTAATGAATTCATTGCTGAGTAGGATTGCACATCCAAACTTTTCCAAGCCCGTATCAAAGTCTGGTTCTGTTGATCCAGCAAAGTCAGACCACACTCCGCGATCGGCGAAACACACGATCATGTCGGCGTTTAAACACCCATCAAGTAGTAGCGATGGTGTTGGTAGTGGTGTTAGTAGTGGTAGTGGTGGTGTCCATCAAGTAATGCATCAAATGGACCCACTAGTGAACCATGCTGATGATTCAGATTCAGTAGGGAATGTCTGGCGGAATGTTGTGGCGAAACCCTCTAACTCAGTTTCGTCAGACAAAGAAGAGGGACGTCCTCTTTTGTCTAAAGAGCCACATGTGCCCGAAAGTGACAATTTTGCAGTTGTTTGCGACAATGTATCTCCCACTAAACCAAATTTGCTTCTTAAAGACGGTATGGGTCGCAATGTGTTGCATCTCGCCGCTGTTTCTAAGTCCACCATCATACTACAGGCCATCTTATCGTTCACAAAAGAATGTGAGATTCTCGCACATGAGGTTGATTCAAAGAACAATACCGTCTACCACTCAGTATTTTCTGGCATCAAGCCACACATCCACGAGACAGACGTGATATCTTGCTTACACCTTCTGGAGCCTCTCAACGTCGACATAAACTCTACGAATGCCAGGGGAGAAACTCCCCTCTTCATGGCCACGAGAAAACGGTTACCGGACTCCGTTCTACACCTTCTCAGCAAAGGGGCAGATCCTACCATCGGTAGCAACCAGAAATGGAATGTAGTACACGCGGCGTGTAGTGCTGATAGTCCGAAGTGTCTACAACTCTTGCTGGATACCCACCGCCTCGAATCGTGTATCTTTTCTGAAACTGACGATGGTCACGTACCTTTTTACTTTGCAACTTGCAGCTACTCCTTGGAGTGTCTCAAGATACTCCTCAGAAACGGCGACCATCTCACTAACGTCGACTCGAAAGGGAAATCCCGATGTTCGATGCTGCTTGAAAACATCCCTTCTGCTAACAAATTTCTCGTTGAAATCTTCGACGAAAAAATCACTGGGAGCGAACAAAGGCCTCTTGAGGCTGAATTTTCCCTAACTTTCGACTACTCTTTGTTGCTATCCCAACGCGGGAACGTTCAATGCTCTGTGGTGTCAGAACTCACTGCTTCAGAGTCGGAAAACATTCTCACTCACCCTTTGATCGAGAGTTTCTTATTTCTGAAGTGGAACAGAATTAAACCTTTCTTCTTCTGCAATTTCGTGGTCTACATCCTGTTCCTTGTCCTTCACACTTTCTACATCGTGAGGACTTTCGGCCGTTCCGCAACCAACTGGTTCGACGCCATACCTGTGCTGAACACGTTTCGGTGCTTCTACATCATCGTGTTTATGTTGATCTTGATACCAGACATGATCATCATGTTGGTTAACGTTCGGAAATACATACAGCAATGGGAAACTTATGCTAAGATTGTAACCTTGTCGACATCAGCGTTTGTTGTCTTCACTAACAGCGTTGAACAGCCCGGGGACATGAGAACGATGATGGTCGAACGTCACGTCGCCGCCGTGTCCATCTTCTTCGCTTGGGTGGAATTCATGATGCTTTTAGGAAGGTTCCCAGTCCTTGGCCTCTATATTCTGATGTTCACCAAGGTGGCTAAGTCCATCATAAAGTTTTTATTGGCATTTTCAAGCCTCCTGATAGGCTTTGCATTAGCTTTTGGAATAATTTTTACGAACGACGACGCGTTTCAAAATTTCCCCGTAAGTTTAGTAAAGACTTTAATGATGATGATAGGGGAGATAGAATATTCAGGGATCATTGAAGCGAGCGGCATGGACATGCCGGTTTTGGGGTACATCTTCTTGGTGGCATTCTTGTTCCTTGTGCCCATTTTGATGGCCAACCTTCTTATCGGTTTGGCTGTTAGTGATTTGCCCGATTTGAGCCGGCAAGGTTCCATCAAACATCTTTCCAAACTAGCCGCGTACCTAACTGCCTATGAACTGCTTATGGTTTTGTTTAAAGAAATGCGCTGCTTCCCGCGGGTGGTCAGGGAAGTTTTTGCAGGTCGTTGTCGAATAAAAAAACTTGTTACTTTCTATCCGAATAAACGCACTTCGTCTCACAGAAAGTTCTTGAAAAGGTGGATCGAGTCTTTGCCAACGGGAACCTTGGATGTCGCCACTTCCATCGTCGAGAAAAGACGTGTATCGATAGTAGGAGGGCTCTTGGATCATGAGGATCTTGAAGGACATGGAACCTTAACCAGAGACGGAATTTTACCGCACATGAATCCCCTGATGCCGACTGCAGCAGATCCACTTTTAGGAAGTACTGTAAACGATGTCACCTCCGCCAGAAGAAACTCGCCTATACCCCGGAATCCTTCCGATTTGTTGACCCGTAGCCTGAGTACCGTGAGTCGTCACACGACGACATCACACGACGTTACCACTAACCAACCAGTGATGCAGTACTTGGCTGCGTTTGAGGAACAGTACCAGAAAGATGTACAAGGGTTGAAGCAGTTCATCAGGAGTAGTCTTGCTTGTGCCTTATCAAACCCTGCCAACATCAGATACTATTCCGAAACCCAAAATGAAGTACCTTCGGATAACCCAAAAGAATCTGAAGATAGGAACCAACAACCAAAAACGAGTAAACGGTCGTTTTTACGTATACCGAGACGAGACAGACCATCTACGAACACTTCAGACCAATTCTTGTTGGAATGCAAATCTTGTGAGGATAATAGTGCGGGTACCAACAATATTATACTGGAGCTGTCACAGAAGATAGGGAACTTGGAATCTAAATTGTCTGCACAGACCGAACTATTGCAGAAACTTCTGGAATCTAAAAATATTCTATAAATTAATATTTTTAGGCGTGTATCTTTTTCTTAAATTATACGGTCAAATAATTGTGATTTTTAGCTGTTGAATTTTTATTTGAATTAAACTCATGTGATAACTTATATGTGTTGTAAAGGATGCTAATTACGTATTAGATCTAATTAATTGATGGGAATTAATTGTAGAAATGAATACTCATTAACAAAAATATCGAATTATAGATCTGTTTTCTCAAGATATCTTAAGTAATATTTACATCGACGCACATTATCAATAGTAATTTATATAAATGAATATACATTCACGAACGTCTATAAAAAATTGAGTAATAGTGATATATACGTAAAAACATAATTATATAAGGAAATATTACAAGGTAGGCAAGGCAATTGTGTAGTTAAGTTGGACGCCCATGATAAAGTTGTTTACAAACTTAACACATTTAAATAAAAAAAACTTGTAAATTTTAATATTAAAAACCGTCTTGCCACGAATGTTCATAATGTGTTGTTGGATATACACTTTCTCTTCCCGTAAATGACTTTACTTGAAATAGTAAAGATATATAGATATATTAAAGATACCTATAGATATAAATAATAATAAAGATAAGCAATGATATTTCTCCCAATGTTTGCTATCACTTTGAAATGTATATATGCACTGAACCGCTTCTATGAGCTCAATTAATAAGATAAGAACAATATACAATCATAATCTTCATGTATATGAATTATGTTCAATGTTATAAGACATTTTGGATCTGAATTTCTTTGATTTTATCTGGTATATATTTTATATTCCAGATATATATATATATATATATATGTTGTTTTATATAAATATTTTATATTTTATAAGACATTTTGGATTTGAATTTATTGGGTTTTAACTGGTATATATTTTGTTGTCTCAATTTTTGTTGTTGTTTTAGTTTTTTGGGTGCTATGTAGCGGGTATCATGGATACGCACGGCGCTGACAGAACAACAGGTATCATGGATACGCACGGCGCTGAAATCATATCTTTATCTCAGAATTTCTCATATATGTTATTATATATACAGGTGTCACGTATATAATTTAAATATAGACTATTTCGGAACGTATAGTCTTATTAATAAGTTTAACGCACAATATAACTGCTCACGTTGCATCATATTTTAAGCTTTATATGTAATTAATCCAATTATTAAGTTATTCAAATGATCACACAATATCAATGTTTCTCAGAATTGCAATATAAGACTCGTGTACAATGATCAGTTACAAATACACAATTTGTGATCATAGTATTTTCTCTGCAATATACCTCAAGTGTGTAGCAGGACAATTAAATAAAATTATCCTACATATCGAATTACCTTGTACGTTGAATTACCCTGAACTTCAAATTACCCTTACTTTAAATTACCCTGAACTCTGAATTACCTCGGACTTCGAATTACTTTAGATTTAAAATTTCCCTAAATAACAGATTGACATGGGCTTCAAATTGCCCTAGAACCTAAAATTAGATCTGGAATTAACATAAATTATTACCACATCACCACCCATAAATCTTGGTTTGTAGAGTTAGGTTCAAGCCTATCACTATAATATAATCACTATAAATCACTTTGAGAAAATTACTAGCAATGGTATTTTCGGTTAGCAGAAAACTGGGAAAACGGTTTGTGAAGTATGATAAATCAGGATTGCAAGTGGATAAACATAACGCGCAGAAAAATTGTACAGCGTCAAAAAAGGTTTTCAAAAAATGAATGATAACAGATTGAATAATCCATGCTGGTAACTTACTTTATATTTTCATTACCCATTAATCCCATACTTGGCGTGTGCTCGGCCATATTTACGGCCGGACTCGACGCCGGTCTCACGGCCAATCTCCAAATTCAATGATCAAGGATTATCTCTCAAATTAATGAACGCAGCTCGGCGAAACTTGGTACACGTATTCATTAGGAGCTAACGATGATGTTTAGCTCGTGAAAAATCGTTTGAATTTCGTCTGCATCCGAGACGTCGCGGTGACCTATCAAAATTTTGAATCGATCTGTCATACAGCACACATTTATGTAGGACATTAAAAATCGCACTACTTGAAGAGAGTGAAGCTACTTCAATTGAAAAGAGAAACTTTGACCTGGTATACCACAAGACTGAAAAATTAGAGGATCAGAAGGAAATGGCAAACTTTAAGGGCAAATGGTTTTTATTTTATATATTCAGCTCTTCATTCATTAAATCGTTCTTTAAACCCTCCTCCTCGCCTGGCGCTCACTTGATCTCAATATAGGTTGTTAGCCTGATTTTTTCACCAATATAAATAATAATAATTGTAAGGATCATTGGTTTATGATTAATGATTCGACAATTTACTAATTATGATTCTTCATCTACAACTGATATACGAACTTCTTTACCCTTCCATCTTTATATTGGCTATATTCATAAAAAATATAATCCTTAAGAAATATTGATGACTTAAAAATTTTAAATTGTTCTCTAAATTTAATCAGAAACCATAAAGTAAAAGATTTAATACCTATTGTCACTCCGCCAGCCGGCATGGTTCCGCTGCTTAGGAATTGTGGCGCGCGGTTATCCAAACTCCAAAGATTATTTCACTTGCTCAAGTTCCATGTGGAAGACCGGGGTCACCGGGCCTTATATAAACTCTGTTAAGTATACGCTTATTTAAACTAGTGCATAGATTAATTTTGTATAATGACATGGAAATGATTATTATTTTGTTGCAGAAGTGTTCTTTTGAATGTGATGTGAATGTTTTCAGATTGCAAACATTAGGAAGCTCGAAGGTGCTCTGGCCTAAGCTGGATTATGACTTGGAAATTTTTGCCATTTCCAAGTCGGCAAGTCCCAATTTCCCAACCCATGCCAGTTAAGCAGTTTTACTTATATAATATAATAACGCCTTCTTAGCCTAACCTACTGTCAGACACTGCCAGTGCAACTGTGCAGGCTGCAGGCTTAGAATGAATTAAATTATTAAAATTCAGGGTTTAAATGTGGATGGGCTATAAAAATACATTTTTTTTCTATAAACATAAGAATATACTGAATAGGCCTACCTATCTATCAATAGAGGGCTATTCAGAATTTCACTGTGACATAGTGGCAAACCAGTGATTTTTTAGAATCAGTTCAATTTTAATTTCCTCATTCACTCAAGAATTTAACCAATTATTTATAATGATAATTCTGGTATCCAAGATACTTTACTGGTCTACTTATAGGACTCAAAAATGAACTTGAGGAAGAGTCTAAAAAACTATCTGCTTTGCCACTATGCACTGTGAATTCTATGCAATATATCTAGGTAGGGTAAACGCGGTATATTCCGACATTGTGGGTAATTCCATCACCTCTCTAGTTTTTCCTTTATATTAAGCTTTGTTTTAGTTCCATGCGTTTGTTGATGGTTGAAATCAGGCATGGAATATATCTGCTTGTTGAGCCGCGACTGAATTTTTTGAGCCGTGGTTTTATGGATTTGCCAGCCGTAATTACATTTCTTCGAGCCGTGATTCTATTTCACCGAGCTGTGAATTCCATATCTTGGCCATGAAAAGCCATTTACGAGGCGCAAATTTATTTACAAAGTCCATGCACGGGTTACCCAAATCTCTAATTTTACCCTAAAACACTAAAAACAGTCAAATGGCAACAATAAAATTTGTCTCTACTGTAAGTTGAGCACATGTTAATGCAGTGACTGCATTGCAGTCTGACCACTTTGACATGACCGCAACCAGGCATGGAATATATCTACTTGGCGAGCCGCAACTGAATTTTTTGAGCCGTGGTTCTATGGATTTGCCAGCCGTGATTCCATTTCTATGAGCCGTGATTCCATTTCTATGAGCCGTGATTCCATTTCACCGAGCCGTGAGTTCCATATCTCGACCATGAAAAGCCATTTTCAAGGTGCGAATTCATTTACAAAGTCCATGCACGTGTTACCCCAAATCTCTAATTTTACCCTTAAACAGTCAAACGGCAACAATAAAATTTGTCTCCACTGTAAGTTCAGCACACGTTAATGCAGTCTGACCACTTTGACATGGCCGCAACTATGCGCGATCTTCAACAAAACGTTTCGTTGATTTGTTTACATTACGATGTTTATGTTTTTTCTGCAAGATATTTTTGGTGGGAACGGTAAAGCAATGCGGATTGCGGAAGTTGAAAATTTTATGGAATGACATGTTTGCGCAAAGTGCAAAACGCGATTTTTTAATCAAACAAAAATTTATGACATTCGAGCCGCGAGATTTCATACCTACTGAAATTATATGATATTAGAACCGCGATATTTCAGACAAAAATAGGACTTTTCCAGACTAGACCGCAACTATGCACGATCTTCAGCAAAATGTTTAGTTTATTTGTTTACATTACGATGTTTATGTTTTTTCTGCAGAATATTTTGGCGGGAACGGTAATGCAATGCGGATTGAGGAAGTTGAAAATTTTATGAAGTGACATGTTTGCAAAGTGCAAACCGCGATTTTTCAATCAAACAAAAATTTATGACATTCGAGCCGCAAGATTTCATACCTACTGAAATTATATGATATTAGAGCCGCGATATTTCAGACAAAAATAGGACTTTTCCTGCCCTGGTTGAAATGGTGACGTAATACATTTGCGCGTCAAACGGTCAAACTACTGCCAAAACACTAGTTCTTGGCCATCTAGCGAGAAAATATTGAGATCCAAAGAGAGACAATGCACGCTACCCAGTGAGATCATCGAAAAATGTGTCAAATTTGACAGTTGACCGTGCTCTACCAAATAGTGAATAACTGTTTGTATAGGAAGAATATTATGGTTTGAGACTTTTAAATACATCTGTGAATATATTAGGAATCATTTAAGTATACTTGTATTTGCTGATTTCAAGTCGTAAATAAATTAATAGATGATTAAGTTGAGATGTTGGATTTCGACACATGAAAACTAATTCTGACACAACTTGAATTGGACACACACAGATCGTTCAAAGCTTTGTACAAAAATTGAAATTTGCTTAATTAAAAGCCTAATGGCTGTTAATTAAAATGTAATTAAGTAGTGTTCAATATTCATTAGTGTTCTAATTCAAAGCTGTGTTGTATTCCAATACAGCTCACACAGCAAACAGAATTTGAACACGTGGATGACGGCATTACGTATCAGTAGAATTTGAAGCACGGACGGAATACGCCTCACCACGTGCCGAATATAGACACACACAGTGACGGAATATAGGGATTTGGTAGGTTTGCATTCTAAAGGCTTTTAAATAAATATGGCAACATTTTGTGACGTTTCGTCGTTGCTGACGCGTAGTGCGGTGTTTTGAGAGTCACATAAAGCAAACAGAACTTGAGTAACGCATACGGTTATTTTTTTATAGTTTTTCATTTCTCAATGCGTCCTTAATGTGACGCAATATACCACCTTTACCCTACCTACCTTTCAAAAATTCAATTTTCATACCTTTCAAATTCAATTCAAGTCAGAACTGAAAAGTGACTAGGCTAGTATATAGATAACATAGTCAAGTTAATAAGTCAACTTGGTACTCATTAGTCATTACTCATTAGTCATTACTATACTAGTGCTTTCCTCTCCAGCAGGGCTGGAAAAGTCCTATTTTTGTCTGAAATATCGCGGCTCTAATACCGTATATAATTTCAGTAGATATGAAAACTCGCGGCTTGAATGTCATGAATTTTTGTTTGATTGAAAAATCGTGGTTTGCTCTTTGCAAACATGTCATTTCATAAAATTTTCAACTTGTGCTATCCGAATTGCTTTACCGTTCTTGCCAAAATATCCTGCAGAAAAAACATAAACATTGTAATGTAAACAAATCAACTACACTTTTTGTTGAAGATTGCGCATAGTTGCGGTCGTGTCAAAGCAGTCAGACAGCATTAACACAAGTTCAGCTTACAGTAAAGACAAATTTTATTGTTGCCATTTGACTGTTTTAGGGTAAAATTTGAGATTTGGGGTAACACGTGCATGGAAATTTGTGCCTCGTAAATGGCTTTTCATGGCCAAGATATGGAATTCACGCCTCGGTGAAATGGAATCACGGCTGGCAAATCCATAAACCGTGGCTCGAAAAATTCAGTCGCGGCTTGCCAAGTAGATATATTCCATGCCTGCTCTTCACCCATTTTTAGAACCATGAGATTCTCACTAGATTAATTATATGTATACAGTACGTATACTTCCTAATAAAGTTCCTAAGCTATTGTTACAAAAATGTAGGTTAAACACACCATATTCCAACACCTTAAGGATGTAGCAAAAAATAAATGGCAATAAATAGATTACCGTATGCGCAACTTGAGTTCTGATTGGTTTACAATACTCTCAAAATACCACACTATGCGCCAGCAATGATGAAATGTCACAAACTTTTGCAATAATTATTTAAAAGCCTTTAGAATTCAAATATACAAAATTGCTGAATTCCAACACTGTGTGTGACTAAATGTGGCATATTGTGAGACTAATTCCGACAGCACTTCAAAATCGTAATTCATATTTCCGACACCCTGTGTTGGAATTCCAACACCCTGTGTGAGCTGTATTGGAAAATGACAGTAAATGACACCCTGAGTGTCGTAATTCCAACACCCTGTGTTGGAATTAGTTTTTGTGTCTAAAACCGTCTCCTAAATCAATCATCTATTAATTTATTTACCAAATTACCACTTAAAATCAGCAAATACAAGTATACTCAAAGGATTCCTAATATGTTCACAGACATATTTAAAAGTCTCAAACCATAATATTCTTTCTACACAAACAGTTTATCACTATTTAGTAAAGCAAGGTCAACTATCAACTTTCATACGCATTTTGATGTTCTCACTAGTTGACTTGGACTTTTGCTCTGCGGATCTTAACATTTTCCCGCTAGACCTAGTGTTTTGTGGAAATCTGGTTTGCAATAGTAATTAGTATTAGTACCGTAAACTGGGGTAACTTTGACTCCTGGGATAACTTTGACCACTTTTGGTTTTTTAACAAAAACCCCCAAAACTCAAAAACTATTTGACATAGAAAAATTTTGTCAATGGGCATTAAAGGCCTAATACTGTGGCTACATAACACAATAGAAAGATTTAAAAAGTTTGCATATCTAATAGGTTAAAAAATTAAAATGTGACCCACAAAAAAGAGCTATTATTTAAAGCCTGTCGGAGTACCCCCTCCAATTTTTTTATTTTTTGGTAAAATAACTCCAGGTTTTGATGCATTGTAGTAGAACTCTTCTAGTTACATATGCAAAAGACAAATTTTAGGAAAGTGTCATAGTTTGCAAATGGGGGGCGCTGCCCCCCAATGGGGTAACTTTGACGACCTAATGGCAGCCGTGACGGGGTAACATTGACCGGCTTGAAAATTAAGTTAAAATTACCATAGGTACCTATATAACATATTTTATGTTTGATACACCTATTAATGTTTTTTTTCTTCATGTTTCAGACTCTACAGAGTCTTATATATGGTAATTTTAACTTAATTTCCAAACCGGTCAATGTTACCCCGTCATGGCTGCCATTAGATGGTCACATTTTGCCCATTTAGGGGTGACGCCCCATTTGCAAACTATGACACTTTCCTAAAATTTTTCTTTTGCATATGTAACTAGAAGAGTTCTACTACAATGCATGGAGTTATTTTACCAAAAATAAAATTGATTTTACCACCCGGTCAAAGATACCCCCGGAGCTAGGATAAAAAAGACCAGCGATTTTTTTTTAATTACATCAAAACTATGAGAGGCAGGAGCCATCAATTTATGGTGAGTGAAGCTAGAGTATAGACCTGTATTTTGCATGTTTCAATTTAAGTTTAACTTATCTAGTTGAAAAATGGCATCATTTTGAAAAAAAGTGGTCAAAGTTACCCCAGTTTACGGTAGTCACTATTTCAAACATCTATGCATGTGTGGAACTAAGACCAAGCTTAATATAAAGGAAAAAATTGATGGGTGTCATAATTACCCACAGTGTCGGAATATGGTGGGTTTACCCTAGCTATGATCAAGCCACAAGATTCGACTTGAAAACATGTTGAAAATTTGTCATGTTTGAGCAACAAGATGGTAATAACAAGTGGGAAAATTCCAATCCAGTTAAATGCAACTTAATTAACTTGAAAAAAATTCTGAAGCTTGAATTGTTAATAGTAGTATATGTAGAAAATAATATATAGATAGCAATATTTTGCTCTCTAAAATGTATTTAAATGCTTTAAAATGTATTTAAATCAATTCTTTGAAGCTAAAGACTTCATTGAAAGATATAATTTTCAATCTAGAACAGTTTTTGGACCCATGACATGATAAATTTTGGAACCTTGTTAACAATAATACAGTAGAATGTTTCTACCAGCATTTTTAGAAAACATCGGCCTGATATTTCAAATTTGCCTAGCATTGAAAATGTCTACCTTTTGCACAGCAGTGGAGCTTCCCTTCAATTTTTTGAACTCCAGATTACTAAAAGAGGTACCGGTATATAACAAATGTGTTAGCAACATGGTGGAATTATTTATAGGAAGTGGTTGGTCATTGAGATCCACTAGGATGGCTGGAGTGCTCCAGTGCCTCTCACTTGAGGAGTGGGTGGCATGCATTTTGAATGCCCTCCAAGAATGCTATTTCTGAAGCATGTGTCACTTATTTGTTAAGAAAATGGCAGTTATTTGGGTGCTGCAGGGTCCGCTCCTATTTATGGCCACAGTGGCACAGTAGAGATTTTTTAAACTCTTCTTCAAGTTCACTATTGAGTCCTATAAGTAGACCAGGTCACCAGTAGAGCTTCAAGGATACCAGCATTATCATACATAAGATATTGGTTTAAATCTTGAGTACCTACATGAGGAAATTAAAAATGAACAGATTCTAAAGAATCTCTGGATTGCCACTATGTTTTTGGCCACCACACTCATCAATGACATAGGTATATGATCATTTTGAACGCATTTAGAATGCCACGATGGTTGGCAATGTCTTCTGAGAACTGAAAACATAGATTTTGATGCTAATGTGATATCAAAGATCTTCAAATATTTGCCTATTTCATGCATGCTGCTCTCTGGAGGGATGAAGTAACAATATGGCAAAAGCAAAATCAAAATATATTTTTAAGCTGTGTGGTGTGTAAACATATAGTATCTTTAATTGTTGTGTATAAACTGCAATCAAATTTTTTGATCTCAGTTTACAGGAAACATAGAGTAATAAAAATTATTCTACATTATTAATAATGATGATTATTATTTTATTAAATACCTACAGTAACTTGAATAATTATTACCTATGTTATTAGACATGATTACCAGGATTGGAATTTTCTTACTTGTTTTGTTGACAATTAGATAGGAGGTAATTCATCTGGCAGAAATCTCACTGTTGCAGAAATGACAGGAAACCTCTAGCTGAAGCCCTGAAAGTAGATATTTTCTACACTTAATGATTACTTCATTGTTGATCATTGTCATTATTTTTTTATTAGACATTATTTATCCATTATTGATTGCCGTCAATGCTGTGCACAATTTTTAGCCTGTACAGTAAAGCCTTTTATGTCAAGTTCTTGGCTCAAGGTTTCTATGATCCCACATTGATGTTGTACTATCATGCATGCTTAGTGACTGCTCCAATAAGAAAACTCGGAGTCATTGTTAGATCACCATCATGAAAATTAGTATCTTCTGCATCTTTTTATTCAAGATAGGATTTTTTCTCATTGATGTCCAAAGCGCCATAGTGACATTTTTTATAAATTTGTATTCCAGAGGCGCTTTCATAACAACTAGATAGCAGGTATATAATTCATTCACTAGAATCTGCTGCTAAAAAAATGGCAGGAAAGCTTATGTTGCAGCTCTGTGGGTATGCATATATACTCAATGCCTGTAATTTAGATTTCACATGCAATGTGCATATCTCAATCATTTGTCATTTGGATCATGAATTGCCAAGTACAGGGATTTTTGACGATTGCCACCTGCCTTAACATTAAATTTAGCAACCTTTTTTATGCTACATTTTACAGTCTTGTCTGCTATGGCCAGACTATTAATGACACAACATAGGTCAAAAAAGCCAAATTCATTGCCCCAAATACATAAAGAGACTCATTTATATGTACCTATCAACCAGTAGTTTGTGATTGGACATGTTAATTTAAGGTTGTTGATGTAGAGCTTGAACAGATGCTGATAGTTCAAGCTGAAAGTCAATACTTTACAGTTTTGTCTGCCACAATCCTACCATGGCATATTTGTACAGATTGTTGGGTCAATGTCGTCAGATGCGTACTTGCCGGTACCAGGCCCAGTTTGTGGAGTAGCACACCACCATGTAGTTCCCTGGTATAGTAAAATAAAATTTGGAAAATTATGACCACTTTTGATGAACTTATCCTTAGATTTGAGCTAGAATGTTGTCATCCTTGACCTCTATCATTTTACCCTACTGTTTGGATTGCTGTGAGCAATCTTGATTGATTGATTGCTTTGCACTCAATTGATTGCAAAGTATTGTATGTATTAATTGCTTTGCAATCAATTAATTGTAAGTCAATCATGATTTGCAATAAAAGGAGCCCCAAAGAAAATATGTTATGAATAACATTGCAATCAACAATTGTTATTTAAATTCCAGGAGTTATCATGATAACAATCCATATAATTACCAATTGAACAAAAATATATTAACATCAATCACTGAGATGCAAAATTTTTAGAATGACATTATTTTGCAGCTGCAATTCATAATACGTATAATTTTCCCAATATTGGATCTCATCTTATATATAATACCTGTAGAGGAACCAGATAGAAACTAGTGCAATCTATTTTTACAGACATTTTTATAATTTATGACTATGAAAAATTAAAATGATAAATGCAAGGAAAGTATGCTAGATCATTATTATACCACTAAACCTATTTGGATGCCTAATAAACTTTTCCAAATCCCTAATAACTGCAAAGATAATGGCATGAGATGTGTGAAGTGATTCCTCATGATAGGGTGGAATGGTTGTCGTATTTGATATCAACTTATCTCCCTTGCTCAGTTTAAAAATATTCACAGTTAAAAGTGTGAACTCTGTATTAAAGTATTTTGATGTGTAGCTATTCCTTTAGCATCCTTCTTTAATTCTATATCATATAATTCTATATCTTTTATAATATTGAATAATTTAGCATCCTTTAATAAAGTGGTTACTTTATGAACCGCTTGCATTATGATCCAAGTGATTAAGGGGCTTAATTCTTAGATTAAGAATTAAGGGGTGCAACTTACTTCATTGCTAAACTGAATTGGCAAAAGCATAATGTAAAAAGGGTTGATGAGTAAGAGAGCAAAAAGAGTGAAGTCTTATGCAAGGGTTGGAATAACAAATTTTTACCAGAATATGAAAATGCTTATAAATGTCTCTAATAACTTTATTTCTCCCATGAATTTTGTATCTGTTTGGTAGGTATTGAAATTCTGATCTGACTGAATAATTCTTTTGAATATTAGATTTGTCTCTGATCATACATATCTTCTAAAGTAACTATATAAATGAATTTTTCTATTATCTCTGTATAGATTAAAGATTTTCAATGTCAATTTTGAACTTTTCCCACTGAAATGGAATTATAAATTTCCATAAATCAACTTGGACCAATTCATTTGTACAATTTTTACACGCGTAGTGTTACCGGTATTCTTTGAAGATTGTAAAGTGTGCCCTACTGTGAGAAATATCTACTAAAAAAGTATCAAGCTTGCTATAGTACAAAACCAAACCTAATGATGACTTTTTAGGATTAAAATCAACTTAAAATTGTTTCCTAATAATGAATTTTTTCCAGGATTGAAATTAACAGAAAATTATTTTACAGGAAATTGACGGACACTTGCAGCATGGCAGCCATGCGGGGCAGCGACAGGTCAGCAGCGGCTGAACTCTTCTTCAAGACGGAGAACTTGGAGAGTGATGATGCGGATGATGTCATCATTGATGAAGACATGCTTGACAATCCCGACAACTCGGATGATGAGGTGAGTNGCCTGTCTCTTATACACATCTAGATGTGTATAAGAGACAGTGATGTCATCATTGATGAGGACATGCTTGAGAACCCTGACCACTCGGATGATGAGGTGAGTGATGATACGGATGATGTCATCATTGATGAAGACATGCTTGACAATCCCAACAACTCGGATGATGAGGTGAGTGATGATACGGATGATGTGGGGCGCTGTGGTGTCACTTGCATATATAATATCTACATTAATATCGATTAAAGTATATACATCAGAAGGCCTATTGCTAAGAAATAGGCCTCTTCATAATGAACATTGTAAATTCTTTATTATTTGTATGTTAGCTTTTACTATAATTATTCATCAGTCTGCTATAAACTTCTATATCATTTTAATCTTAGAGTATTATTGAAATAAATATTAGAAACATATCTTGAAACTGGTTTCTCATTCAATACTTTGTATTTGTTTCTTTCACCATTTTGAGATGAATTCTATTTTGATTAAAAGATTTATTTATTTTTAAAAAATGATTATTTATTTTAAATTATTTTACTGGTCTTATTATATTGATTATCATCTTACAAATTTGTTCATTTGTAATGTAGATCAATAATGATCTTATTTGCAATGTATTTTTATGGCATATGTTTCATGCATCCTTCTTGTCACTCTGATGCTCTGTTGACATCACTGATTAAATTATGTGATTAAATTATTTAAATAAATTAAATACTTAAATTATTTTAATTGTGCCTTATGAATTGAAGCCTTATGAATGATTAGTCCACCTCATATTTGTCTTATTGTACCAATATTCTGTTTCTATACATCTTATCTATTCAGGGGTTCAGTTTTTGAATGTCATTAACATAATAATTAACATTGATGCTGACCATCTGCTGACCTATAATTCTTATCTATTCAGGAATTCAGTTTTTAAAAGACTGAGTATTTTAATGTGACTGAACGTCATCATTTAATGACATTTAATAGTTTTCGAAAGACTGATAATTAACATTAATGATGACCATCCGCTGACTTATAATCTATATTGCAGATCCTTGAAGGTGAGATCCTGCTTGAAGAGGTACAAGCTCTCATGGACGAAGAGATGGCAGAAGCTGAGGAAAAACAGAAGCAGCAACAGCAGCTTCTACTTGCCGAAGAAGGTATCACCAACAACGACTTTGTGGGCAGCCAAAACAACCATCATGATAGTGATCCTAGAATAGAAGACTATTATTCTGACCCAAATGTTAATGGTAGAGATGTTCAGAAGGACCTTAATGCATCTAAAAAGTTTTGCTGCAACGATTGCGGGTTCAGTACAAATCAGCAAGCTGAGCTGTCCATACACGTGGCAACCAACCATCCCACCACAGAAGCTTTTGATTGTACAGAATGTGAGTTTACTGCACCAACGGAGGAAGTCCTTAACAAGCACATGCAAGATTTGCATGTCAAGCTGAAACCATATAAGTGTAAAGGATGCAGTTATGTTTCATCACAGAGAGTTCTGCTTGATAAGCATATTATGCGCTTCCATCTTGGTCTGAAGCCCTTCAAGTGCATGCAGTGCGACTTTGCGACTATTTGGGAGTCATGTTTGGTGACGCATATCCAAGTCATCCATCTCACCGACACTCCGTTGCAGTGCGACCAATGTGGGTTCAAAGCTATGCATCAGCAAGAACTTAAGTCACATGTTGACCAGGTCCATCATTCTCCGGAGGTCCCTATGTTTAAATGCAGCGAGTGCTGTTATAAGGCCCCCAAGAGCTCCACCATTAGGATCCATGAACGCATTGTGCACCGAAAAGAGCAAACTTACTCTTGTCAAGAGTGCGACTACATCACCAAAACCCCGGCTGACCTCAAGGCTCACCAAATGACCGTCCACGAGAATATCAATCCCTTCAAGTGCCCGGATTGTTCTTACACGTCCCTGAAAATCTCGCAGATCAAGAAGCATCGTGACAACGTCCATTTCAGGAAAAAGCCCTTCAAGTGCGACAAGTGCCCCTACTCAGCGCCCACCAACTCGCACCTCATGTCCCATGATCGCTCTGTGCACATGGGCATCAAGCCGTTCAAGTGCCATGAATGCAGCTATGCCGCCTCCCTGCAGTCGGGACTTGAGCGCCACATAAACGCCGTGCACTTGCGACTCAAGCCATTCAAGTGTCCTGACTGCAATTTCTCTACCTCGACTCCATCGTACGTTGAAAAGCACCGCAATACAGTTCACTTGGGACTCAAACCCTTCCACTGCAACGCATGTTCGGTGCGCTGTGCCACGCAGATTGATCTTGAGAGACACATCAACTCGGTGCATCTCAAACTTAAACCTCATAAATGCCCGCGATGTTCGTTTGCTTCTGCCAAGAAGTCCTACCTCTCCAAGCACATCAAAGCCATCCACCTGGGGCTGGAGCCATACAAATGTTCCTCCTGCACCTTCACCTCACGCACACAGTCTGCGCTGACCAAACATCGCAGCATCGAGCACAACCAGACCGTGCCCAACTACCTCTAGACAACCAGACCGTGCCCCACTACCTCTAGACAACCAGACGCTGACGCTGCATCTTATTATTCCTGTTATTCCTGACGCATTAAATGAAACTGTAATTAAACTGATGAGATTTTGTGGATGATTTAAAGCCATAAATGACATTTCCATTGTAATTAATATTCATATAATATTTTCTTTGTATAATTTAGAGTAGCATAGGTATACTATTGTAGAAATTGTGCTATTGTTCCTCCTAGTAAGTCCTTGTACTAAATAGGACCTAGATGATGGACTAGTACGAGTTTACTAGAACTTCTAGTAACTTTTGCGCTGTGAAGTATACTGCGTTCATGTGAGTGATACCTAGAAATCAACTTCTCTAGATGAAAAAGACTATTTTTTCAACATTGCTGTTGTTGCTCTAGAAATCATTTCTTCTCTGATTGAAAATCTAAAGTTGTAGGAATTTTTTATCTAGGAATTTTTTTTTGCTCTAAGACAATTTTTGTATAGGAAATTATTTTTTTTTTCTGCAGGAATTTTTTTTCTCCAGGAATTTTCTTTTTCTATGAATTTTTTTTTCACTCTAGCCAAGATAATTTTCTCTAGCCGTTGCGATTTGGCGAACCGTGTTAAGTACGATCCATTTTATTGACCATCTGGAAATACTCTATATTTTTTATAAAGAACATTTCCCTCTCTAGAAATATATTAATAAACTCTGCTTGTTACAATTGCCTCTGACATTACCGCCCTGGATGTTGTTGTCTCGGTCTTGATTGTTTTGATAAATTATAACTAATTAAGCATTTAAATATAATTAATTTCATAATTTTTATCGCCAGCCTCACGTCGGTGACTTGAATTTGTCAATTTAAAGAACATTTCAACTGCTGGTTTTTAATGTTGATTAAAAACCTGATTAAGTAAGTGTGTTTCAATGCATTTGGTTTCAATTAATAAAATATTTTGCTTCAACCGTTCTGACGTTTTTTTTTTTGTATCATTTAATTTTCATGTCCATTGAAAATGCTCAATGATATTCAGGAAGGTTTAGCATTGCTAATAATTGTAGGCTATATTGTATAATATAGTCTATATTGACTATAATTGTACAGGGGTCTCAAGTTTTCACTATTCATCGGTTTATAGAAAAAAATTTTACTACGCTAAAAAATTCATTCACTGTTTGGTAAAAAATTTCAATGTCGGTGAAATTGTTAGCCATTATCACTCTTTTATCGAGATAATATTTTATTTATCACGTATACAAGTTATCGGGATACGCTAATAAAAAAAAACGAAAATTTAGTTTAACATTTCATCGTCCTATTGATTCTTAGTCTTAGAAAAATCTACCGCTGTGTGAAATAGGAAGTCATCTGATCAAATAAAAATATACCCTCACCCTTGGCTTCTAGAATTTATTTTACGCAAATTAAAGAGCATAAATATAGCCGCTGGTGAAATAAAGACTAGCAACTTGTCGTCCCACAATCTCAATCACTTGATAGGTTATATACTTTTCGAGGCGTATTGAATGCCAGAATCTCAATACCAAATTTTTTATAAACATAGATATGACATAAGTAAAACAAGTGCATGGCCACGAAATATCAATGCAATTTACTCGTCTTTCCACTGAATCTATGATTATCACAAATTAGGCAAGTTTGCCCTAATAAATTGAAAGAGAAAACCATATACATAGGAAACTAAACTAACTTAAAGAGCAACCCGAACGTATGGCAGCTGCGCATGTGCTTAATGTCAGTTTTCGTGCACCGGTGTTTTGTTTTATATCGTGATACGAATTTAAAACTGGTCGATATTTAAATACTGAACATGAAAGACGGTTAGGAGGACCTGCTTGAGTTCTGAATGAGCCAACTCTGGACAGTTTCTGTAACCGTACAACATAAGGCCCCATTATCTTCTACATACGTACAGCGGTTTCAGCGTTTATTAGGCCGTAGGCCTGTCGACGATTCTTAACATCACAGAACATTCACAGCTTGTTGCAGTCTCGAACTCGCAACTCACTGCTACAATTCTGCTGTGCTTAACCGCCCGGCCTCCTCGCTGATTCTGACCAGAAATTGTCGCAGGTATTTGGGATTAAATCCGCAACTCTCTGCTCCAATCCTGGTACTCTGAACTTTAACCAGTGGGCCACCCTGTAGGTTACCACTGGACCCCTATTAATTAATTAAAATTAAGAGTAACATGGATGGTGGCTCATAATTATGGTGACATGACAACCTTACCATAAACTATCATCGTAATGCGTCCTCTGTGGCCTCAAATTAAAGAACTATTAAACGCGCGCTCGTAACCTCCTGACATCATCTCTGACGTCACCGTCAGCTGGGTACCGCACGTCTGACGTCGACGATGAATGTTAATAAATGAATGAGAGGCTTGCATAGTGGAGAATCACAGCCTCGAGAATATTTTTCAAATTTAGACTTTCCGTTATTAGTTTTGTTAATGTTCGGGCCCATCGGTGTGATTAACATTAGGAAACAATTCAGTAAAGTGAAACAATTTTCATAAATTCCATATATAAGGAACACTGGAGACCATCGTAAAATATAATTTACTCTGAATTATGTATACATTATTCAAAATAAACGAAGAAATTAGAGCCATAATTAGTTTTCAAATGAAACATCAGTAGTTGAAATACATACAAACAAAAAAAATATATATTTAATGTTAGAGACGAAATGTATTCAGAGTTCTCAGTGGGACAATTTTCTGTGCATCATCGACTCGTATCTACATCAGTCATCCCTGAAAATGCGTCATGTCATCAGTATTCATATACCTATGTCGACGCACTTGCTTCAAGTGTAGAAATAAATTTTCTGTTAGAGGAAAATATTTAAATAACTTTTGGAGGCCGAAAGGCCTATTTAGCTTGAGCGAAAAGTGTGAGAGATTGTTTAACTTGAGGGTGCTACTGTGCCAGTCTCAGCTCAGCCAACTTCTTTTCTTTGCCAGCAAATTGTTAATTCGTTTAAATCTGCGCGTATGCGACAACCTCTTGAGAGCAATAGAGGAGTAATGGCAGGTAAGCTACTTTGTTTCTTTGCGTTTTTGGACGTTCACCAGCGCGTGCGTGCCATTAGAACATAAACGAATTTTCCTGCCTTCTTTTGTCTCATTTTAGGTGCAGCGTATTCTTATAAGTGCGGTTCTTATAGATCTTATCTTATAGGTTCTTATATATTCGTTTTAGGTGCGTATTCTTATATTATATATTAAACTGGTCCAATAATATACAGATGTCATCTGATGGTAATTATATTGCAGTCATGCGTACCGTAATCTAATAGCCCGGTTTCAAAATTGTGCAGCCGCGTCTAAAATTATTTACCAGCTTATGGTGAACAAAACATTAAGCATATTATTAATTTAAGCTCATATAAATCAAATTTACCAATCATTCTCCCTGGAGAACGAAGTCTCGGATCTTATTTAGAATAAACACCCTAGACATAACTGAGTAAATCTACAAGAATTTATTTGTATCCCTAACAAGGTTAAAGAATTATTAATACAGGCAAATTAGGGCTATTATAACATTTTTTCAAGAATTACAATTCCATTTCAAAAAATACATATCGTTTTATTTCCAAGGATATACTAAGGTGTTTATTTCTAGTAATATCCGAAGTCTCTTACATATATGCCTTATTTAAAAAATCCCTTCACTGTTTTCGATGTCTGTAAAATTGTTAGCCATAATTACTCTTTTATTGAGACAATATATTTATTACGTATACGAGTGTTTGGGATACGCTAATAAAAAACGAAAATTTAGTTTAACATTTCATCGTCCTATTGCTTCTTAGTCATAGCAAAATCTACCGCTGTTTGAAAAAGGAAGTCATCTAATAATTAAAAAAATGCCCACACCCTGGGTTTATAGAATTTATTAATAAGCGTAAATTTAGAAGCATATATAGAAGCACCTGTTGAAATAAGGACTAGCAACTTGTCGTCCTAGAATCTCTATCACTTGATAGGTTATATATTTTTCGAGGCGTATAAAATGACTGCATCTCAATCAACAGAGAACATTTTAATGTTGTCGTACGTGGCGGCAACCATCAGTGCAAGTCATTTTGTGCTCACTAGAACGTATCCTTTTTGGGAAGTAGGCTTGTTACAGTATTGCTCCGGTTACTAATATAATTAATAATAATATTATTATATTATATTAGTAATATTGATATACTACTAATATTGCTCCGGTTACTCATGGCAGGCGGTGTAGGGTAAAACGAGCACTGGTAAACTCCTGACATCATCTCTGACGTCACCGTCAGCTGGGTACCGCACGTCTGACGTCGACGATGAATGATAATTAATAAATGAATAGGAATGAATGAGAGGCATGCATAGTGAAGAATAATAGCCCCGAGAACATTTTTCAAATTCATAATTTCCGTTATTAGTTTTGTTAAGGTTCGTGCAACATCGGTGTGATTAACATTAGAGAACTCTTCAGTAAATTGAAACCATTTTTTTCATAAATTCCATAAGTAAGGAACACCGGAGACCATCGTAAAATTTAGTTTACTCTGAATTATGTAAAAATAATTCATAATAAAGGAAGACATTAGAGCCATAATTAATTTTCGAATGAAAAATCAGAAATTGAAATTCATGCAAACAATGAAAAATATAAATATATAATGTTAGAGACGGAGAAGTTCAGAGTGGGAAAATTTTTTGTTCAGCATTTACCAGTATCTACATTAGTCAATCCTGAAATACCCCATGTCATCAGTATTCATGTACCTATATTGGCGCACTTGCTCAGGATTCGAAAATTAAGAATTTGATAATTGAAAAATACAAGATATTTTGGTGGCCGAAGGGCCGATAAAGCTTTAGCGAAAAGTTTGAGAGATTGTATAACTTGCGAGTGCTACTGTCAGTCGCAGCTCGGCCAACTGCTTCTCATTGCCAGCAAATTGTTAATTCGTTGAAACCTGCGCGTATGCGGCAACCTCATGAGAAGAATAGAGGAGTAAAGGCAGGTAAATGACCGTTTCAGGTGTAGGTTAGTGTCATTGTTAGTAAGTTAGTGTTCCATGTATAAGTGTTGTCACTTGGTGTGTAAGTTAAAGAATAGCTTTTCCTTCAGTAAACATTTTATAATTTCTTTCCTGTAAATGGAATTATCAGATTCACGTTATCGTCGAGTAGGGGAATGAAGTGCTTTCTCATATCACCGATAAAATATTGAAGATATAGAAAAGAGGAGTGAATGGGAGTTCTATGTGTTAGTATAAAGAGGTTTTTCTTTTATGAACGTTTCTGAGTTTTTATTCAAACACCGGGATTTTCTAATTAAAGATGTATAATCAATCCCAAGCAACGTCTGAAATTTATATGAAAATGCCGGCCAAACTATGCCAATATCAATCAAAATATAGTCATAATATATTTGTTTTCTATAACAATAATAG